ATCTCGTTCGCCTCTATCTCGTTCGCCTCTATCTCGTTCGCCTCTATCTCGTTCGCCTCTATCTCGTTCGCCTCTATCTCGTTCGCCTCTATCTCGTTCGCCTCTATCTCGTTCGCCTCTATCTCGTTCGCCTCTATCTCGTTCGCCTCTATCTCGTTCGCCTCTATCTCGTTCGCCTCTATCTCGTTCGCCCCTACCTCGTTCGCCCCTACCTCGCTCGCCTCTACTTCGCTCGCCCCTATCTCGCTCGCCCCCACCTCGCTCGCATCACCCGCTTCACTCGTGTTATCGGCTTCGCTGGTATCGCGGGTACTTCCACGGGCTTTCAGTAAGGGTCGGCGACGTACAAATGGCACTCCACATGGTATTGGTGAATGAGACACAGTAGATTTGTATGCCGTTATTTGCGTTTCATTTTTCGGGCTTCGCACGCGAATGTCACAAGGCAAGCTTCCAACAGTCGGTGGGGCGAGCTCATCCACTTCCGGAGATTCTTCCACATAGTTCGACACGACAAAATCGCTTGCATCCCCAGCCTCGCTGCCACTGGGCTGGTCGTAATTCATGATCAAGAGTGTATCTGGTTTTTTCGATTTCAGAACGATCGCGACGGCGGAAGATATATATCTCTCCTTGTCTCCCAGTATTTTTTGACTAGATGGTTGAGTGGAAGCTAAAAGGCAAATTGCATGAGAGTGCTGTTTTGGGCAAAGTCCATAAGGTAGGCTGTTGTTTCTTTTGAATTCACTTTCTCCCAGAAGTTTGAAGAAATCACAGGCAGCAAACAAACGGCCTTTTCGCAAGTACCACCGAGACCACAACAAGCAAAAGTAGAGACGGCGGAACGAGTAGAGACGGCGGAACGAGTAGAGACGGCGGAACGAGTAGAGACAGCGGAACGTCCATTGAGTTACTGTAATCTACGTGATCGTGAAGATCTCAAAATGAATTTTTCAAAGGCATTATTGTTTGGTTTGCAATGGATTCCAAAGTCGGGGACGCCTGGTATTATCAATGACTCCGGGAATAATTCGTTCTGTGTTGGTCTTACGAAGGAGGGTGAATGTTTCGAAGCGGGTGCATTGTATGGCAATGGGAGAGCAGTTGTCCTTGGCCACAATGGATACATGCTAAATCCATCGGTGAGTGGCGACGAGAATATAAAGCGACTGAACAGGTTGCTTGTTAACGCTATCGTCTGGTCCAGCAGCTCGGAATGTGATCTCATATCGGAAGGCGCCCGTGCTTGTTCAAACGTCTGTGAGCGTAGAAACGATTTGTTCTCTTACCCCTTTTCTGGTACAAGAAACTGTCAGCAGCAAATAATAGTTGGTGCGATTGGATACACCAAGGGCAAGTTTGATTCTGTCATGAAAGCGGTTGATTCTATCGCACCAGGCTTAGTGAAGCCAGGAATCGTCGTGGGAGGTAGCACCTTAAGTGATGTAAGCAAAGCAATTGAGTCAAGGCCTGATGTCATACTCTGGACTAATGGGAACTGGAAAAATGAAATCATTGATGCCACGTCCATGACCATGGACCCGAGGGCCGAAGATATATTGTATTATTTGCATCAAGGAGGAGGTCTGGTTGTTGGACTTTGCCCGTGGGGCTGGGAGTCCCTTGCCAATAAGAGCGTTGCAAACGAAAGTGTCTTTGGGGCGGTTACGGATCGATTCGGTATTGGATTCACAAGTGAGTACGCAACGGCCTGGGAAGGGGGAGATAAAACCTCGGTCGAATGGAGCATCGGGAATTCGACCCTTCCGAACAAGCTAGAGGTCATGACAAAATCAGTCGAGGACATAGCCACTACAACTAACGTTAATATTACGGGTTTGAGGCAGCTACTGAATTCATACCTCAATTTCCCCGCTTCGGTGTTCATGCCCAAGACAAGTCCGACCCGAGCGTACCTGCCGGACAACGACGAGGAGTTCAAGTCTCTTTCTCAAAGAATCGAGAGTGTAGCAGTAAATATCGGTCGACATTCCCTCTCATTTCCGGTGGTCTTGGGCAAGAATGCAAAGACCATCCCACAATCAACTGCTGCGGGTATGCTATACATTGCATGGCTACGTCGAGCTGCTGAAACTCGATCTCCACAGCAGTTGGATACTATAGTGCCTACTGTTGAGACTTTCCCCGGGTCAGTAGGCACAGGACAACGTAACCAAGGTATGATATTTTCGATTCTGAGCAATCGTCGACGATGGCAATGTACCGGGCTTTATGCCGCACCTGGCGAACCTCTCACGATCACCATTTCTGACCAATCCTTAAAGCAGTTTCCTGATCTCCAACTAACAGTACAAATCGGTGCCCACACGGATCGCCTACAGCTGGTTCAGGACAATTACAAATTGGAGCGGCATCCGAGGATCGTAAACTCACGATCTTGGAGTCCCCGATTGGTGCAGCCGACGGATGACGGTCCTATGATCAAGCCAGCTACAGTTGGTAACCGCGTTCAAGTGGCTTCGGTTTATGGCGGGATTGTTTATCTCACAATCGATGGTGGGGCTGGGAAATCGCCCCTGACGGCCATAACCTTCAATGCGATCGGTGGGGTCCCCATTCCATTTTACTGCCACATGAAGGAAAGAAGGGCCCAGGATACTAGCGATCCACTGTATGGGGTGTTTCATCAAAATACTGACTCCTATCCGTTCTGGTCTGCGACTTGGGAACAGAGAACCGCATCTTTTGTAGACGCCCCCTGGACGGATTTGGAAGGCCGATATGTTGCATTTACGGTTCCGACCGCCATGGCTCAGAGACTGTCACAGACCGAGCTGCATCAATTAATGGACTTTTGGGATACAGTAGTGTTCAATGAATTATCTCTTGCGGACACACTGACCGACTTTGAATACCAGCCAGAGCGTCTGGCTTGCGACAAGCAGATTTCTGCCGGATACATGCATAGTGGTTATCCTGTGATGTGCTTTACAGACATCGTGACACCACCGACCGGGAAAAGGTTACCACGATTACTGGATTTACCGAGGTTGAGAAAGGAACCCATGTGGGGCGTATATCACGAGTTCGGCCACAATAGGCAAGTCGGCAAATGGACATGGCAGGGCATGACAGAGGTTACTGTAAATATCTTTTCTCTCTACAACTGTCGCCTTATGAATGGTTTCAAAGTGTATGACGTTCCCTGGTGGAAAGATCACAAAAATGACATGGTCAAATTTCTCAGAAAGTCATCGGGGACATACAGTGACTACCTTAATGATGTTGGAGTAGCTCTTGGGGCATTTGGAGTATTTGCGGAGAGTATTGGTAACTGGGATATTGTAAGACAAGTTTTCCAAGCCTACAAGAGTGACTCGGTAAAGCCGGCGTCGAACGACGACAAGATCAACGAATGGATCAAGCAAACTAGCATGGCCGTTAACCAGGATCTTAGACCGTACTATCAGCAGTGGCGTTGGCCAGTTAATAATAATGTATCGCAACACACCAAAGTCCATCCCTCCACTAATGTACCGTTCCGCCTTAGTATCTGAAAGAGCTGGACTCGTACCCGAAATGGACTGGAAATGTTGTTGATTTGGTTCTAAATGAAAGCTAGAATTTCGTCTTAGTTTTTTTGGTATTCATGAGTGTTTGGTATGACGAACACACCCACGCTTATCGCCGGTACCTATCGCTGATCGTACGCAGTCGGACCGACGGTTCGTTTGAATTTCATTTATCCCCTTACTGTCTGTCCTAGTCGGGATGCCTCCGTATAGGAGGGGGCATGTGACTGGCCCATAGTTAGCAGCCGGACTAGGAGAGCATGTGACTGGCCCATGGTTGTGAAGAACACCACTGATCTACGGTTGGTTGATGTTACGGCCCCCTACACCCGTTACGTCCCGCGGCCCTATTTTTAATTTGACTTTTTTAAAAACCCCGGAACCACCCCACAAC